TCGAAAATAAAAGAGTATAAACAAAGGAAGACACGACAGAAACACAGCGTTCTCATGTTTTCCTTAAACATACATTCCCATGTTAACACAGGCCAACAACGTGCGGCATGTGCTCACTTCGTGGGCAGAGTACAGTGAATGATGGGCATGCGTGCATGTAGGAGCAGCAATGCAACCGCTTTCTCGGATACACGTATATCTGGTAGTCACCCTGACCAGGCGCTACATAAACTCAGTAGCGTAGTTGGTTGAGGCACTATGCAACAAGTCGCCGGTTCGAGACCCGATGAGGTCATTGGATTTTTTTTCAATTTATCTAATCCTTCCAGTCTCCCTATGGCCCTGGGTTCGACTTAGCCTCTAACAAAAATGAGCACCAGGAATCTTCCTGAGGGGTAAAAGGCAGCCGGCGCGTAAGGCTGTCAATCTTACCGCCATCTGTTTGCCCATACTCTAGAAAATGCGGGAACCTCTACATTCCACAACCCTATGAACCTTCATGGAATTTTACAGCGATAGCTGTACATTACGTTTTTTTACATAACCTCAGTAGTTGACTCACTGTCACAGAATAGTCAACGCATAAAGTTACATAAACCCAAGGGTGCGGTGGTGAAGTAATTTCATTTCAAGATGATATACGAGTAATTACAGCGATTTTAGAAGGACTGGGAAGGAAAGGAACCTGAGCAGCACTGACAGAGTAATGGGAAGTTATCCTAGCTGATACTGAACTCTTGCATCTTGGTTGCATTTAGATTAATCATCCACAGACCGGTATATACTCAACCGCAAGTATTTATTAATTGTATTTCACTATTGCGCCGCATGTTTCGGCATAAGTACGCCATCTTCAGACCCAACTAAGAACTACAAACGCAAAGAGACAATTGAACTTTGAGGAAACATATTGGAGAAAGCATTAATTTGACTGTGTTTGTAGTTGCTATCTGGTACGCGGCCTCCGTAGTCTAGGGGTAACGTTCACACCTCGTGACTCAAGGTAGCCGGGTTCAAACCCGGCGGAGGTCGTGGAATTTTTAAGGGCGGAAAAATTCAGGGAACAATTCCTCCGGGAGGGACTTTAAGCCGTGGGTCCCGTGTCGTAGCTTTAAGGGACGTAAAAGAACCTCATGTCCCAAGGGGACCTCTGAGCCAAATTCAGGAAATTTCCCGCCCAACAGTAGTCTCTAACGCCTCTGGTAGATGGGGGAAGCATCGAGATACCCCTGAGCCAGTAGAGGCCGAACTCGCTGGCTGAGTCCGGACTGATGGCACGCACCAGTACCGGTAGGATATAGAGACTGGTAGGATATCACAGGGGGACGCACAATGGACCAATATCTGGTCTAAGTGCATGGGGAAACCCACCCTCTCCAATAACAACAACTATCTGTGACTGAAAATTGTGTTCTGACACCGAAACATAGAGAAGAATTAGATTTTGCTCTATCTATCTGTCTATCTATCTATCTACCCTGTAGTCCTTGTGGACCTTGGCTGGTTTTTTAAGTTTCTTAATATACACACAGTAGGTAGGACCTCGTGGACGGGGGATCAGCCCATCGCAAGGCCGCTGCCTACACACAGAACAGCACAAACAGAATAAACGCACAGAGACATCCATGCCTTGAATAGGATTCGAACCCACGCTCCCAGATTTTGAGCGAAACACAGTTCGTACCTTAGACCGCGCGGCCGCTATGATGGGCTTCAAGTTCTGCTGAAGTATAGAAATAATGTTGATTGCATCAGTACTACACATAATCTAGTCATCCACACTACACTGCAAATTTAAGGCAGGATAGCGGCACGTTCTGAATACAGCGTCACTTGTGACGTGTGTCTGGAAGTGCCCTCAACAACGCCTCCATTCATGCGTGTGTCATTGATGAGAAACGTCCAAACAGGCCACACAGCTTTTAAGAAAAAAATATGCAGGACTGTATATGAACGATTTTCTCATATTTAATTGGGTGATACACGAAACTTGCAGCCGATGATTTTCCGTTAAATACCCTGCTAATTAAAATTGTCAGTGTTGGTGGTGAATGCTAAGGTAAGCCGTCAGTCTATACTCGCATCAATGCTATGCACATAGGTCCAGGACCAGCCAATATCAAGTGCGTGCAGTTGCGTGGAGACAACCTAAAGCAATGTGGCACAACTGTCTGGAGACAAAACCTATCGCAAGTGCATCTGCCTGTCTGGAGACACCCTAAAGCAAGGTGGCACAACTGTATGGAGACAAAACATATCGCAAGTGCGTCTGCCTGTCTGGAGACACCCTAAAGCAAGGTGGCACAACTGTATGGAGACAAAACCTATCGCAAGTGCGTCTGCCTGTCTGGAGACACCCTAAAGCAAGGTGGCACAACTGCATGGAGACAAAACCTATCGCAAATGCGTCTGCCTGTCTGGAAACACCCTAAAGCAAGGTGGCACAACTATATGGAGATAAAACCTATCGAAAGTGCGTCTGCCTGTCTGGAGACACCCTAAAGCAAGGTGGCACAACTGTATGGAGACAAAACCTATCGCAAGTGCGTCTGCCTGTCTGGAGACACCCTAAAGCAAGGTGACACAACTGTATGGAAATAAAACCTATCGCAAGTGCGTCTGCCTGTCTGGAGACACCCTAAAGCAAGGTGGCACAACTGTATGGAGATAAAACCTATCGAAAGTGCGTCTGCCTGTCTGGAGACACCCTAAAGCAAGGTGGCACAACTGTATGGAGACAAAACCTATCGCAAGTGCGTCTGCCTGTCTGGAGACACCCTAAAGCAAGGTGGCACAACTGTATGGAGACAAAACCTATATCAAGTGCGTCTACCTGTTACAGAAGGTTTAAAAATGAACTATATATTGTAGCGTGTTTCTTAGGCAACGCAACAAGAAATTTGTCCGGATTCTCGCGTTTGAGCGAATATTTATTGGACAATCACACTTTACACTCACAAGTACAATTATTCTCAATGCCCTTTAGACGTTCCCGCTTCACTATTACAATTTCTTGCACCGCTGATCTTGGTGAAGTGTCTTCTGCTCTGCTCGGAGCTCAACTGTCCTTGGTTCCTTGTCGGATACGAACCCTTCTGCTCTAGTCGGTCGGATAAGAACTCTGCTGGTCTCTCTCTTGCCGAATACGAACTGTTATATCTTGCACTCGGACTGAATATGGAATACCTTGTCGAATGGTTAATTTCGCCCGCTGCTACGCAACGAACGCCTCAAACAATGGGAACCCCACTGTTAGACTTTCACTCCGGGGGCAACAATTTCCTAGGCTTCGCCGCTGCCTTAGAATTGCTAGCCGCTGACTAGTATTAGACGTCTTATAGTCCGGCTTTCAGGCAGCACGTCACTGTATATATACAGAGTGTTTCACGACTTTAGGGCATAACTGCAGGAGGTGATTTCCTAGGTCTTTGTG